TAGGGTGAACCCCAACTATTTATGTTTACATATCTCCTAGTGGTGCATTTAAGTTATTGGCTTGCCTCTTTATTATTAATTGGCTTTAATTGCATCAATTCCTTTTGATTTGAAACGGCGGTTAATGATAATCCACTTTTGACCAAAACAGATTTAAGATGAATATGTGGATCTGACACATTGGAAATCATGCATGATATATTGCATTTAAAGAATGATTTTCGAAAGACAATATGCCGTTCATAGACTCATGTTTCATTGCACAGTGGATTACATTCAAATCGTTTCATTCCGAAACGGACTAAATCCCGTACGGTGGTTACGAATTTGTTCATTTAAATCACGTGTCCTTAAGCTAAATTTCGATTATTGTACATATGGCGACTAAGCCATCCATATTTGACGATCAGTGCAATTTTGTAATACATTTTAGTGAACATTTCCGTTTTTAATTCCTTCTGGAAGAAAGTATCTGAAGCGTTTTTATTTTAAGGAAGAGTTAAAATTAAATGTACATAATATATACAACAACAAAAAGCTAAAATCGGATTTAGTCCTTTTGGTAATGACAGTCTTTCATATATATGTATATATAAGAGTGTGTGTATAAATATAGAGGCCTATATATGTGTTTATCACATATAACAACAAATTCAATTAGAAAATTACTCCATCACGGTTTTAGAAATGAAAATTAAACAGTTGGAATAAAGATCATTGTGATTTTCAATGCGATATTACTGTTTCAAATTAATTAATTCGATCTTACTACTACATTCAATTATTTTAATCACTATATTGTAGAATTTGTAGAATTTTATTGACTCTTTGACCCCCTCTCGGGGTATGAGAGTACAAACAAACATAAAAGTATAAATAAAAATGCATGACTTATGAATACAATTCACATACATTATACATATATAATGACACAAAGATAAAAACGATAATAGGTATATAGTGTATGAAAGTACAAACATGAACAATGAACCAACTAGTAAACACAAATTATATATAGAAATCTACATGTACATGTACATGTACAATGAATGTAGATAGTGACAAACTGACAATAATAAAAGGATAACTATAATGCAGTCTATTTACAAGCTAAATAGTAAACAAAGTAGGCTGTTTCACTATCCTACCGCTACGAGTACGTGTAGGTTCAGCTCTAATTGCCCTTCTTGAAATGCTTGAACTATCTTCTTTCTCTGTTTTTTGATTAAATTTCAACATAATAAGGCGGGTAAATCTCGCTAAATTCTTCAACTGAGAAGTGCTTCTAGTATTAAAAAGTTCTGCCATGTGCATAGCACTTGGGAGCTTAGACTTACAACACTTTTTTGATAAATATAAACATCTCTCTCTTTGAAAAAACGGACAAACAAAAATATAGTGAAATTCATCTCCTATATCAGTAGACAGGCAGAGTGTGCACTGCATATCACAATGTGGTGTGTTCGCATCAAACCGACCTTTGTTTACAGGTAATTTATGTGATCTACACCGAAACTTACAGAGAGTAAAAGCATCAGTTTTATTTAGGGTGAGGAAATAGCTTTCAAATATATGGTTGCCTTTAAATATCCTATAATTTGTGCAAATGCGATTTGACCATACTGCATCTCTCCATTCCTGACCAAAAATATCATTTAGTCTCAGTTTTAGCAAAGAATTAATATTTAAGCCAAATCCACTATTTTGGCCTAGCCAAATATTTGATAGACCAGCTTGATTAAATGTGTCTTCAATAAATTTTAACCATGAGGAAGTAAATTCCAAATGTTCATCTTTATGAATGGCAGAAATGAATTTTAAAAGGACATATGAATATTTGCTATCTTTACCTCTCAAAATTCTTGACCAAAAATTAACCATTCTACCCTTCACATGATTCAAAATCAAACCTCGTCCAGTTTCTCCATAAACCATACAGTCTGGAGTATATGAACCTACAGATAATAACGTTCTGAGGAATTTCCTATGGAAAACTTCAATCTGCTTTATATCTTCATGTCCCCAGACTTCACTACCATAAAATAAGATAGGCAAAATCAAATGGTCAAATAAATGACATTGAATATCAACTGACAACTGCAATTTCTTCGCTTTAGTCAACATACTGTATAACGCTTTTCTAGCCTGCACTATCTGCTTTGCCATTGCCTTTTTGAAAGTACCATTATAATTAAACTGTACTCCAAGATAAGCAAAATCATATACCACATCTATTTTTGCATGACCATACTGTTGTGTTTGGGATCGGTGTCGTAAGTTATTGGAATATTGAGAGGTACATGAAATAAAGAGATGCTGAGACTTTCTTTGAAGTGTAATGTGCAAGAGTATAATTTATTATAACTCTAAAACGATGAGTCGCATAGTCCAGATTCACAAGTATATTTACAAGATATAGAGCAGACAAAGTATAGGTACTAGCTTGGTGATGGTCTGAACTCTTCTCCCCTCAGAAAGCCAAAACCTGTATTCTTTATACAGGAGGATACAAGTAATCTCAGCGTAGGTTATGTCAAAGGGACAAAGACAAGTTCCCTCTCAAAGTCATTTAGCTAACACATGTGTACCACCGGGGCTGTTCTGGGAAAGGGTCTTATCAAACAAAGGGGGCTTTGGTTATTGGGAGAAAGACAGGAAGTCTTTTGTTTTGGAGGTTTGGGGGCTCTTATCGAGTGTATACAATTTGGGGTTTATTTGGCTGAAATAAGTTATTAAACAAATGTCTTGGAAGGAGGTCTGGTATATCGCAGGGTGGGTCTTATCTGTATTGGGGCATACTGAGTTATATTACATATTATTACTGAGGGGGGAGTAGACTTGTACTACCTTTACACAACATCCCCTTTCTTTGGAAAATAAGGCTCCTCTCCCTCTTTTCAAAAACAGTAGAGGAAGAAAAAGGGGGACATTTTAAAATTCTACACATATTAATTAATTAATGAAAGGTGATAACTGATAAGCGAAACATGTGATCATTGTTCCATCCTCTCTTACTCTCTCTCTCTCTCTCAAACACATAAATGTACAACATAGTAAATATTTAATATCAAAACCTATTCATATTATGGCTATCATAACAAAGGTAAAATAGCTACATACTAATAATCCTAAACGATTAAACAAGCATAGATATAGCAAAACTTATTTGTGATTCAATACTGAATCCATCCTTACATGCTAGTGCAGACTTATGCACAATAAGCAACTGTAACATTATAAAATTGTGCAGACTTATGCACATAAAAAACAACTTCTAACTTTCAAATTATAAATTGTGAAGACTTATGCACATAAAAAACAAGAAAAATATATAATCAAGTTAAATAACCATTATAAAGTTATCAAATCCAAAACGTTTTCAAAACGAAAACGCGTGTCACTTATCAAATGACTCGATCCTTAAAGGAATATACGAGTCTAACCAAATAATAAATCGTCATCACAGTATGCACACTGTGGTTTAGAAATATACGAACAAATCTGTCGATGCAAATCTAACATCCTAACAACATGATTATAAATGAGAACGTAAACGGGTGCGCTCTAGGCATTGAAAGTACTTCTATGTTAAAACAGACAATAAATGTACTTCGTATGAAGCATCAACACAGAATTCAAGTGACTAACATTCCTAACCCATTATAGAGTTCTTTCCATAATCATAACACAACTTAAAGAATAAAAAAATGATGAACAAGTAATTTCAAACTTGTTGAAATATCATATAACAAGTGTACATTCAATCCTTGTAAAACCATCAAAATGATGAACTATGGTACGTTATATAACTTCTTTCTTGAACGAGCTAGTGCGTTCAACTGGTTTAAATTTCAACAAGAATTTAACATTCATTAACAATTGTCATACTAATCTTAACTACAAAGTGCCTGTAGACTTATACAGGAAAACTTTGATTCACATTTACAGTGATTTGTATAAACTATGATGCTTCAAGACTTATAAAAGCATACAAAACAATATATTTCCTAGGGCATACACATGATATAGAGGTAAATGTCTACAAATATAAAGACTTATAAAATCTTCCTGGGCTGCCCGTAATCTTCATTTTTCTGTTTGTCAGTATGTCATTAATTAAGTCTTCTGTGCCTTTATACAAATTGACATTCCACCAAAAACGCACTTGCTTGGTGGTGTTATTACCAGTGTCAAATGACGTCAATATTTGTAGATTTCCAGCTTTGAAACGGCCTTTATGAAGGGTCATGTTCTGGTCATTGGGGGCAGTCATAAGTAGGTCAAATTGTCTTTCTAGGTCTGTTTGTGTTAAGGGTCTGGGGGCAGCTATCCCATTGTTGTCTGTCAGTGCATGCAAATAGTCTGAATCTTGGATCGGGTCTGATAGTTGCGAACACATAACCTGCTCAACATCAATCTCGGGGAGTTTCTCATCATTTTCATTGATGAAGTTTACTGATGGTTTTTCAGTGTTTTGTCTCCCCTGCTCTGTGTTTTTCCCTAGAGCCTCTTTGAGCTTCTGTATGTGCGTTATGTGTTTCCTATCATCGGACGCTTTCATGAAGCACGGCTTCAATCTATTGAAGCTAAACACATCTCGCAGAATTTCTCCCTTTAGTGTGGCCAAAATGTAATGGGTCCTATCTAGAACATCATGTATTACTAATGTGCCGACCCACTCAGCCGCAATCTTCTTAGAATTGGCTGTCAAAGAAGAAGAGGTGGGCTTATACAAATATACTAATTGGCCTCTAGAATAAATGGGTGTCTTCCCCAATTTGTTTGCAATTTCAACATTCTGCTTATCTTGCTGTTTTCTCTGTAAAGAAAGCATTGTCCTGGAAATCTGATCAAATTTCTTTTTCAAATGGTCTACATATTCTTTGTATGATTGGGAAAGGCCAGACATGGGATTGAAGGACAAAGTTGTTAAATTTGGGGGCTCTCTTCCAAAAACGAGCTGGTAGGGGCTGTGGTCACCGAGGTGTTGGGAGGAAAAGGAATTGTAAGCATAGGTTGTAGTAGAAATGTATCTAACCCAATCGGTTCCAAATTGATTCAAGTTTATTTTGAGAAAACTTGAAAGGGTTCGGATGTGCCGCTCAACTTGTAGACTCCCATGATTTTCTACACTAATGACCTTGCGGTCAATGTTCAATGCTGAACACAAAGTAGTCAGTAGTTTGCCTGTCAGTGAAGATGCTGCGTCAGTCACTAGACATGATGGTGGTCCAAAAATGCAAACTACCTTTTGGATTAAAGCTTCGCAAATTGTCTCTGCATCGAGCGTCTTGAGAGGCGCGCAGATGACGAAGCGAGTTATCTCATCGCATATCACCATCAAGTGTCTAAATCCTGTCCCAGAGGTCGGCATAGTCTTAAAGTCAAGACTAATGCGGTCGAATGGTCTGTACGAGTCTGGTACTCGTGTGTGAAATGGTCTAGTCTTGTCGGGCTTACCGCGAAACTGCTGACAACGCAAACAAGCTTTAACATAATTGTTAATACGCTCAAACATATTGGGCATATAGAAGTTGCGTCGTATTGTCAGGTAAGTTCGTTGGGTCCCTTGGTGGTTACTAAGTAGGTTGTCATGGTATTGGGAGATGATAGTGTCTGTCAGTGTTTCTGGTATTGCAAGTTGAAGTCGAAAGTCGTCATTCTTGTCAAAGAAGAGCCTAAAAAGAACGCCATCACAAAGAATATATTCCTCTGCCTTCAATCTTATAGCCTTAGCTGCCTTTTTGTCATTTGGCAGAATATCATGGGCTAGAAAATCATATACAGGCTTGAAGAATGGTGATGTCTGTTGTTCTGTTTTAAGTTCTCTCATGTCAATGGGGAGGTTGTAATCTCTGATTATTTTCCTCTTAATTATGTCCGTAATCCTATCAAGTTCATGTTGTTTGGGGATATGTCCTGCTATTATGTTGTTTACCTTGCTAGTTAGTGGTTTAGGCGGTGTGTATAGATCAGGTGGTACATCTCTGTGGTGGTCATTAGTATGTCTGTCAACTAGTCTAGGCTCTTGAGGAGTGGTAGAAAAAGGAGGCATAATTCTAGAATGAGTACATGTACTGTCTTGGTCACGCACTGGTGCCTGCCTGAGGGGCGTGGCAAGTCGTGTTGCCTGTCCGTGATTGGTTGGTCGTTGGGGGTGTGTGGTAGGTCTGTCAGGGGGCGTTGGGTCAGCTGTTCTAGTAGGTATGTTTACACTAGTTTCTGTTGCAACGGGGCTCTGAGATTTGTTGGGGGAAATTTCAGGAACAGTTATTCCCATCTTTTTGGCATAAGCCCGTGTTATTCTCCTATCCATGGGTTGGACTGGGTTAAGGGTGTACATATGAACAAAATCACTCTCGTCAAATAGGCAGCATGAAATGGGGACAACCCTGTCAATCTCATCATGGTCGCCAGAAGGGGCTCGAGAAAGAAAATCTGCCAAAACGAGTTCAGTACCCTTTTTGTACCCAATTTGAAAGGAGTATTCAGATAATTTCAAAATCAATTTCTGCAATCGTGTTGTGCACGGTGCATCCTTTGACTTTAAAATCTGGACAATTGAACTATGGTCAACGAATGCATTGAACTCACATCCTTTAAGCAAATGCTTAAAGGCTGAGACATTGATCAATAGTCCAAATAGTTCCAGCTCTGTCACACTGTATCTCTCACATGCATCGGGCAATACTTTTGAGTAATACCCAATAATACGTTCCTGTCCGTTAATAAGTTGAGTCAAGTAAGAGCCGGTAGCAGTCCGAGAAGTGTCACTGTATAGTGAGAATCGTCCTGTACTTTGGGGCATGTGTAAAACTGGAGGGTTGGTCATTAGCTCTTTAACTTTGTTAAAGGCAGTCTCGTGTTCGTCAGTCCAGGTGAATTTGTTTTTCTTTCTAGTCAGTTTGTGTAGTGGTTTGAGAACAGATTGTATATTGGGGAAAAATCCCGCAACATAGTTCACTGCTCCTACCAGTCTCCTAACTTGTCTGGGGGTCTTTGGTTTGGGCATGCCATGGATAGCAGCACACCTGTCACGAAGGGGTTGAAAACATGCCTCTCCCACCTTATTGACAGTGATTCGGTGGCCCATATAATCAACATCAGTGCGGAAGAGCTTGCACTTTTTCGGGCTGACTTTAAGTCCATTGTCAGAGAGAGCCTTTAATACATCTATCAAGTGGGATCGATGTGAGGTCTTGTCTTGGCTAAATAGTATTATATCGTCATGGTGAGCTATGCAAAATTGCCTAGAATTGGGGATCGAACCCAAAATATCATCAATCTTTGCCTGAAAGATAGCGGGTGAAACGTTTAAGCCTTGTGCCAAACGTTTATAAAAGTAATGTTTCCCACCATGGTATGATGCAATGCCTGTATACTTTTGAGCTGACTTGGATAGGGGGATGCAATGAAAAGCTGACTTTAAGTCAATCACACTAAGGACTTTTGTGTTAGCATTGCCAATTCGTTTGAGGGTTTCCGAAAGTAGGGGGAAGGGATGATTAATTCGTTTAACTCTAGAATTGAGATACCGAAAATCAGTAACAACTCTCTTTTCGGAGGTGTTCTTTTTGGAAAGAAGGAGGACAGGTGAGGTGTATGATTGATGTCCTACTTCTAAAATTCCCAACTTGACGAGTTTGGTCAGCTCGTATTCTATCCTAGCCTTGTCAGTTTCAGTTGCAAAGTAAGGTCGAATGAAAAATGGTTCGTCGTTAGTCAGTTCAATATCTACTTCGAAATTCGGGCAACTCGATAGTTCGCCATATAGAGAAAATGCATCTCTATTTTCCATCAGAATACGAACGATTTCCTGTTTTTCATTTTGAGACAGAATACTCCCATTTAAGTCAATATGTTTCCGTATTATCTCGTCTTCTGTCATATCAACGATGGGGTCACTGGGATCAAGGTGGGGGTATTTCCCTAAGTTATCAAGTCTAGTTTTGTTGACATGAGGGCTGTCTACGCGAGTTTGAGATACATTCAAATTACTTGTAGAGTTCAATGTCATGTGAATGTCGCTCACTGGTAAGTCATGGGCCACATTTATGAGATTACTAGTGTCCAGAAAGGCGATTGGTCTACCTTTTGTCAAATGGACTGGCCTGTCTGTAGAATTGGTCACTAGTAGTTGGGTCCTCCCTTTAATCAACTTAACTATCATGGTAGATGGGCAGTGTCGGGCTAAGTAATTATTCGCAGTCAATACAACATCAGAGTTGCGTAGGTGGGGCGGGGTCTTGCCGTGTATGGTCACAAATCTGGAAGTACCTGGGTCAATAATCACTTTGTTAGAGGGGGCAAATGAAATCTTCGTTGACTTAATCCTAAATATATTATCTCTAAAGTGGAGGGCACCATTCAAATCAGAAAGTGTATTGCTACCTAAGAGCATATCAATTCCCACCAGATTTTCAACAATCAGAGCAAAAATTTCAAATTTATGACTCTGTATCACTACATGCATTTTGATCATGGAATATGCATATAGAAATTGACCGTTCCCTATCCTAAATCTAACGGGTCTAACTTTCTGTTGAGGGAGGCTAGAAAGGTAGGAGGACGACTTAACATAATTCGCAGAGACAATGGTTCTTGTTGCCCCACTATCAAATAAAATGAAAATGTTCTTGCCACTTGGGAGGCGTCCTTTCACAAAGTTTCTTTCAGTTAATTGCAAGTCTACGTCATCAGTCCCTAAATAAGTCGAAGTTAAGTTTACATTAGGTCTGTTTTGATTATTAGGTGGGGAAGAAGGGCAACGAGCACTGTTAATTCCTTCCCCTTTTAAAAATCCTGTGGTCGTGGGCCATATGATGTCTGTTGTTGATGTTGTCTGTAGTTGTACTGCTGGCGTTGATGCTGTGGTTGTTGGCGTTGGTTTTGATGCTGCTGTGGTTGTCTGTAGTTATGGTAGGGTGTCGAAGGTTGACGCTCTTCGTCTCTAAGACGTCGTCGACAATCCCGCCAAACATGTCCCGGAAAGTAGCAGTAGTTGCATACCATTCGTGGTCGTTGGTTATATGTTTGTTCACGGCGGTATGGGCTCTTACCGCGTCGGTCTGAATTTAAGTCACGATTTCGATCATGACTCCGGTCCTGTCGGGTTTGTTGGTAGTGGTCGCGGTGGGTTTGATCGGCACTCGCGCTACGGCTTGTGCGTGTAGGTGTGGATGGTCGTCGATGTGGAGGTCGTCCACGGTCATTTTCATTGTCCGTTGCATTGGACGTTTTTAGGGCATTAAGTTGTTGCCTAAGGTCATCAATGTCAGTTTGGGTAGAAAAGGTCAATTCTTTTGTCTGTCGGGTAGTGTCTTGGCGCAAGTCAAGAAATAGCTGCGCTTTGGCTGCTATCTCGTCCGCAGAAAGGTCAGGGGCCGAGGCAGACATTAAAATCGCAGCTCGGCAGTCGTCTGGTATAGAGTCAAGTAGTCTATGTTTTATTTGGGTTTCCCCGTAGTCAATGTATGTGGCTGTAAGTCTGAGTCGTTGGAGGAATGCTTCTGCGCTTTCCCCGTCGGTCATCGTCATCGTGTTAAAGTCACGGACGTGGCTGTACGAGGATTTAGCAGGGCTAAATCTTCTCACAAAAGCGTCCTTTACCCAGGTCGAAAATCCCATAGAAACCAGTAGAGAAAACCAGTACAGATTTCTAACGGTTTCTAGTGGTCAATTCTCTACTGGTTTCAATATGGAAAGTGGCGCTTTTTCCATTAGAAACCACTAGAAAAAAATCGTACTGGAACCAGCAGAAGACCAGTAGAAGACCATTAGCAAAACCTAATGGCACCATTAGGAGACCAGTAGGAATCCCAACTGGGACCATTAGGAGACCAGTAGGAAACAAGTACAAATCCCCACTGGAACCAGTAGGGGACCAGTAGAAATCGATATAAAAACCATTAGAAGACCAGTAGAAAAGAAGTGCTGGAACCATTAGACAAGTAAAAAAGAAGTCATGGAACCATTAGGAGACCAGTAGAAATCCATACAGAAACCATTAGGATACCAGTAGAAAACCCCAATGGAACCATTTGGAGACCAGTAGGAATCCCAACTGGAACCATTAGGAGACCAGTAGGAATCCATACAAAACACATTAGGATACCAGTAGAAGACCAGTAGAAAACCCTAATGGAACCATTAGGAGACCAGTAGGAATCCATACAGAAACCATTAGGATACCAGTAGAAGACCAGTAGAAAACCCTAATGGAACCGTTAGGAGACCAGTAGGAATCCAAACTGGAACCATTAGAAGACCAGTAGGAATCCATACAGAAACCATTAGGATACCAGTAGAAGACCAGTAGAAAACCCTAATGGAACCAGTAGAAGACCAGTGGAAAACCATTATGGAACCATTAGGAGACCAGTAGGAATCCCAACTGGAACCATTATGGAACCATTAGGAGACCAGTAGGAATCCCAACTGGAACCATTAGGAGACCAGTAGAAAACAAGTAGGAATCCTCAATTGAACCACAGCATTGGTTACATTACATGGTTGACATTTTTTTGATCAGTTTAAATTCTACTACATCAATGCACTTCCAACACAGTACTCCTCACAAAATCTGCCAGCCCTTGTTTTTTTTTTTTTGTACTTTAAAAGGGCATGCTGGTCTGCAAAGTAGACACGAAAATGACAGGAGCTGGCGCGAAGTTTGCTTCCAACACAATTAACTATTTTCTCGAGGTTCAGCCATTTCTCTCGCAAACGTCTGTTAACAAAAGATATCACGATCATGTTGGTTCATCTTTATCATATTTAACACTTAACAGTGTATCCTTTAATTATCTGTCAGAATATCATACATCATATAGTGATTACAATGACATGAACGTTTAAAAGCAAAGTTAACAGCTTAAATGAAAAAGGATTTTTTTTTTTTTTTTACACATTTCAACAACAAAAGAAGAAATATAAACAAAAACAATGTTAAATTGGCTAATTATTGTCTAGAAATTATGGCCAGTTTTAACAAAGAGAAATCAATCTTGAAAATTTGGAGTAGATGTTTAAAAGAGTAGGTTTGGCAATTTGCAATAGTTATCTTACGGTAGCCATCATGAGTAGAAACAATGAGAAATAGTTTTTGCTGAGAAATTTCGTTAGTAATTTTCCACCATGGAGAATAAGTTCATTTGCACAAATTTAAGTACTTCATTCATGTATATTAAATAGAGAATAATTCACAAATGATTACGCAAAGCATGATTTTGACCTGTAGATTGTCATAGTACATGTAAAAGATTGATATGAAGTTGCAGCAATTGGAAATGTAATATTGTGTACTACATAATATAAGCCTACTACATTCACAAGCAAAACAAATTCATTTACGGTCTTACTATTTTGACAAGTGCTGTGATATGCTGTTCATCAATAAATGTAACTTGATAGTACAGTGTATTATGACAAATTATGACAAATCGATAAACAAATGAAATATGGTCCATATTTAAGAAGGGTTTGAATTTAAAAATGAAATAGATTTCATAATTACGAAAAAATATAAATGGTGCATAATTCTGGAATTGAAAAAGGGGCGTTAATAACGATATTGAAATAGGGTTCATAATTCGGCAAATGAAATGGTATTATTTTGAATATGAAATAGGATTCATTATATTGACGGTTCGTAATTCCAAAAAGTATAAAGGGTTCTATTTGCATTTTCAGAATAATAAACTTTTGGAAGTATATTGAGCCCTATTTAATTTTCTGAATTATGAACCATATTTCATTTTTGGAATTACGAATCCTAGTTCATTTTCAGAATTAGGAATCCTACTTCATTTGTAGAATTATGAACCCTTTAGAATTTATAAAAATATGAACCCTCAGAAAACGACATAACAGTTCAAAGATTTCCTATCCATATGAATACATGTACTGTACGTAGGTCATTTTCGTATTGTAATCAAATTTAATGAATACCGTATTTCCTTGTTAAGTGCCTCATTACCAATTATTAAATTCACCTGTTACGAATAAATGTATTTAAATAGTCAGAATACAAATTGAATACATTACGTGTTGCTAGTACTATAGGTAGTACAAACATTATGTCTTGCCCTACCTAACAACACATAATGTTTGCATATCGCATTCTGACTATTGAAATACAATTATTCTTAATAGGTGAAAGAGATAATTTGTACCGCGGCACTTTGATTTGATTTATAACGAAAATGGCCTAATCACATTATGTTACATAGGGCTTACCCTTTACACTTTTTAAAGGGAAATCCAACCTTAACAGACAACTATACTTTTAAAAAATAGCAAATTAAATCTGACAGAAAATAAGGTGGTTATGGATTGTTGAAAGCTGTAATCACTAAACCTAAGGGCATTTTAAATTGGCTGAATCGGTAATGTCACTATGACGAGCTGCTGGACTACTTTCCCTTTTATTTCAACACACAAAATGATTTAAATATTTTTTTTCTTCAAAATGAATGATCCACGAGTGTCTTTTCTATGTAGAGGACTTGTAATAATGTGCTATTCATAATATATTTTGAGTAGTTCTCAAAGGGAGAAGGCACTTAAAATAAAAAGAGAATTTATTATATTTCATTAACAAATGGGAGAGTTGTCCCATGACTACAGGTGTAATAATAATAATAATAGTAGGTTCTTGTGTAGCGCTCATGTCAGTCAGATTTGACCCTCCTGGCGCTCCTGATTATTACCCTGGCTTTAGCACGGCTGCCATACGGCGCTCTAGCATTTCATTGAGATATGCATGGATTTAGTGATCTCATATTTATATATTATCACAACTCCCTTTATATTGGCCCGATTTATTTCAAACTTTCGCCTTTCTATTTCTCTTATTTTTCAGCTTCCATTTCAATGAACTTATTACAAGGGTTGGATTGTCTTTTAAGGCTCGTTCAGATATGATGCTGGAGTTGACATAAAGTTCTATATGCTTTACATTTCTATATATTATAATACAGAGATCACTGAATATGCGCAGTCCAAAATATACAAAAACATGTAGGTCCTTTGTTACCGTTCACTTTAGACATAAAACAAAACTGCAGCATTTTTGGAATTTTTTGGGCGGTTCACGTGCCATACCTGAATAAAGTCTTAAGTGCTTAAGATTGGAATCAATTTGTATTGCATCTACCTCATTCAATTTTTCTCTATTACCAACTTATATAATTAGCCACAGGTTTTAGGAATTGACATTGTGATATGAAGGGGGTGGGGTCGAGTATGAGACTGATCTACTACATAGCATTATGAAACAGGTCTACTTCATAAATAGTAATAACAAATTTACGCAAATACCGAGATCTTTTACCCAAAGGGTTAATATGTATGTTTGTAAACCCTGTAATTCATTAAAATGGCAAGTGACATGGATGGGCATCTCAGTTCTACATCTAAGCTATTCAGGTTCGTGGCTATAACTCATCCCCCCATCTCTCTCTCTTTATCTCTATAATGAAGGGGAAAGTAACCTGTGTGTGTGTGTAGACCTCATTTTGGAAATATTCCTCTTCAGCTTGGACTCATGGTTTAGATTTTGGGTGGAATCTCCTGTATAATGCAAGTGCTGCTTGATCCAGGGTACATACACGCAAAGAATTCTAATGCATGAATATAGAGCAAAAAGAAAGGAAAACAAGTTAAGAAAAACTTTTATCCATTTTAAAACCAGAATGTAAACAATGAATTAAATAATGAATTCTGTCAGAAAAGTGCAGTTTCAAAGATTTATCAGAAATAAAAATAATCTCTCATTGCTCACAAACATAATATAAAACATAATTTTGTATTTTAAACATTTGTTGTCAATGCAAACGTGAATCAGGATTTTTTTTGCAAATAATTATCAATACAATCTAGTTTGCTGATGAAAGTAGAATCAAAGCTCTATTGCTAAGGAGGGAAAAGAACACTGTTTGAAACTCACAAAATATGGTCGGTTATTGCAATATACCTGCAGGTTTTAGTGATCTAAAATTAATTGAATTTTATGTATTTGAAACTTAGGAAAAATAAGCATTTCGAATCAGTGTCATGATCAGGGAAAAATTAAAAATATATGTACAGAAATAATACAAGTACATCTACAAATTACCGATAATGGCTTCAACTGTGTCACGAGGCTGCTGAATGCTGATCCAGGAGGTTGAGAGAAAGTAGCATTTTCTGCATGGTCTCACGTCAATATAGGCCTACTGTGTCCACAATATGCTTTGAATCCACTGTTCGGCAAAAGATGTCAAAAGATGCCTACAATTAATAAGAACAAAAATAAAGTTAAAACAAATTGAACGGTTGATGCATGTGCAACACACATACATGTAGGCCTACTACAAAATTATTTGTACAGCCTGCGGGGGAGGAATTTTGTTTACCATTTATGGGTCTAGCTGTTTATTTCCAGATGAGGGCTTCTGTTTATATTGTGCGAAACTGCGAACACACCATAAAGTGATTAAAGCCCCCTTCCCCGCTTGTCTTGAAATTAGGGTGCGTTGCAGAAACGGAGTACCGCCTTAACGCACTCTTTCGGGATAAGCGCGGGGGGGGGGGGGCGGCGGCTTGTCTGATTATCAAGATATTTATGATTGGAATTCAAAATTTCAAAAAACGTTTTCCCCAATGGTTTTATAACACTACAGTCTATTGGGGAAAATGAGTATGGTAAAACCAGTCACTCAAAAGTCAAAGATTTTTACTTTTTGAGGCACTTCATCAAGTTCATGATCATTTTGAAGCGCAATTTTGTTAGGGCTTCAATATTACACCATATCACTGACACTGATAATACGTAGGGCCATGCATCATAGATTTAACTTTGTTAAACGATGCCTTTAAAGCCATGTGTAGGTGAATGCACAAACTTGCATCAAGATCTAACATAAAAATACATGGATGGGACAATACAATACATTTCTCATCTTTGCGGCAGGCGTTGAAAGCACTCCTAGTAGACACGATCATACATTAATTACTACGTTTCAAAACAGAAAACAGTTACTGCACATATTGCAAATAAATTTGGTAAATCTAAGACTTACCCATATTGAAGAATAGCAGGGGAAAACAAAGTAATAACAAGATTTTGTCTCTCTGCTCTGGCTCCTGTAGCTGTTCAGGATAGGAATGGCTGTCTTGTGTGTGTGTCACATAAGGCATGGTCTGGCTGGGTACACGCACACACTGCATGCACTGATTACATGTGCACACACACACACACAGTGTTAGTGTAGCCCAGAGAGATGCCAGCTGTGTAGCCGTTTAAAAAAGGCGGCAGTCGCATTTTGGGGTTTTGGGGCTTGTATAGTCTTGATCAATATTGCAGACCTTACAGGGCATATGTCAAGATGTTGCACAATCTGTAAAATAAAACTATTAATATAATGACTAATGACATTTTAGAGTTTTTCATCCCTGTTTTGGGGTTTTTAAATAAATAAAGTCAGACTGATTCAGAGGCGGCGCTAGATCTTACTGATTTCTATTTGTTTCAACTGGTTTTCAAATCCATTGACATATGGGCTCGATCTGCTGGTTTGTAAAGGTTTCTAATGGTAATTGACTTAAGATTTTTACACCCATGTTCAAACCATTAGAATCTACTGGTTTCTATCGGATTCTAGTGGTCTTCAAAACCATTAGGCTCTACTGGTTTTGTAAAGGTGTCTAATGGTTTGACTTAAGATTTGTGCATCCATGTTCAAACCATTAGATCTTACTGGTTTTTATTGGTTTCTACTGGTCTTCAAACCATTACAGTCTACTGGTTTGTTAAGGTTTCTAATGGTTTGACTTAGGATTTTTACACCCATGTTAAAACCATTAGATTCTTCTGGTTTCTATCGGACTCTAGTGGTCTGCAAAACCATTAGGCTCTACTGGTTTTTGTAAAGGTGTCTAATGGTTTGACTTAGGATTTTTACACCCATGTTAAAACCATTAGATTCTTCTGGTTTCTATCGGATTCTAGTGGTCTTCAAAACCATTAGGCTCTACTGGTTTTGTAAAGGTGTCTAATGGTTTGACTTATAGATTTGTGCATCCATGTTCAAACCATTAGATCTTACTGGTTTCTATTGGTTTCTTCTGGTCTTCAAACCATAAGGCTCTACTGGTTTGTTAAGGTTTCTAATGGTTTGACTTAGGATTTTTACACCCATGTTAAAACCATTAGATCCTACTGGTTTCTATCGGATTCTAGTGGTCTTCAAAACCATTAGGCCCTACTGGTTTGTAAAGGTGTCTAATGGTTTGACTTAGGATTTTTACACCCATGTTAAAACCATTAAATCTTACTGGTTTTTATTGGTTTCTACTGGTCAGCAAAACCATTAGGCTCTACTGGTTTTGTAAAGGTGTCTAATGGTTTGACTTAGGATTTTTACACCCATGTTAAAACCATTAGATTCTTCTGGATTCTATCGGATTCTAGTGGTCTTCAAAACCATCATAGGCTCTACTGGTTTGTAAAGGTGTCTAATGGTTTGACTTAGGATTTTTACACCCATGTTAAAACCATTAGATCCTACTGGTTTCTATCGGATTCTAGTGGTCTTCAAAACCATTAGGCCCTACTGGTTTGTAAAGGTGTCTAATGGTTTGACTTAAGATTTGTGCATCCATGTTCAAACCATTAGATCTTACTGGTTTCTACTGGTCTTTAAACCATGACAGTCTACTGGTTTGTAAAGGTTTATACTGGTTTTACTTCACAGTTCCTCCTGATCACCATTAGACTCTAATGGTTTCTTGAAAACCAGTAAAACCATTAGAATGTCTCTACTGGTTTCTACTGGTTTCTAAAGGAATTTCGACCTGGGTAGGTCGGTATAAGTAGAAAAAGTCAGGCCGTCGATCCAAAGTCGGGCCTGTCCTTGCAGAGTTCGTCGGAATGTCCGAAGTATTGTCGGGAATTGGTCCCGGTCAGTAGAGTCGACGTCGTGTGCGTCGAGGTAGTCATCAAAGGTTAAAAAATGTGCTGTAGAGTCATCCCTATTAAGTCGGTCACCGGTAAACCGGGACGGGAGAAAGTCAGTGGATCGGAGGGTTGTATGTCGTGGCATGGTTGTGCCGTTATTGGGTGGAGTCGATGTCGTGGTAGTTTGATCGTCAGTTGAAGGCATGATCAGTTTGTATAGTATTACGATTAAGTTAGGTGTAGCAAAACAAATTCAATACAAATACTATCTATGAAGCTATATTCTCAATGATAGAAGTAATAATAGCACAATTTCATAACAATCGTCAAATTGTATAGCAAAAGCATAAATGAATGGAGCATTAAATCAAATCAATTATTATTTCAATCTCTCACTCTCACTCATAGTCTGGAACAATGAAAAAGTGTTTCACTTACCCAACTATAGCAATCTGTCTGGTGTGTTTAACATTTAAAAAAAACGGCGGAGCATGCATTAAGGATGTAGAAGAAGGAAAAAAAAACAGGATAGGTCGAAAGTTCAGGTTCCAAAGTTAGAGTTATTGATTAAAATTTCTGGGTGTAGTGAAGTCACAGTGAGGCGTCGATGTCCTCATCATAGTCCTGCATGGGCGTTCATCGATGTCGTTCCTGGTCCGTCCAACGTGGTCTGCTGTAGCTATTGGTGCATTGGAGTAGTCATCGGTTGTGTCGTCGCAAGATCCAGTTCGTCGTCGATGTCATCAGTACTGTTTCTTGGTTGAGCTTCATGAGGGCTCCGTCATACTAGTAGCGATCTGGTTGAAGTCGTCATCGTCATTTACTTTCTGGTGTTGATCGTTGTCGTTGGTCGAGTCTTTAATTTGTCTGTGTTTGATCGTTTTTCCAAGTGATGTGGATTTAAAAACTCCAAGGCAGTTTGTGTGTAATTATTCAGTCGCTGGTCCTCCTTGATCTCATACTTTATCGAAGAAAAGTTCTAATTTTAATTCTTTTGAATTAAAGCCGGGTTCTCCACCATGTTGTGTTTGGGATCGGTGTCGTAAGTTATTGGAATATTGAGAGGTACATGAAATAAAGAGATGCTGAGACTTTCTTTGAAGTGTAATGTGCAAGAGTATAATTTATTATAACTCTAAAACGATGAGTCGCATAGTCCAGATTCACAAGTATATTTACAAGATATAGAGCAGACAAAGTATAGGTACTAGCTTGGTGATGGTCTGAACTCTTCTCCCCTCAGAAAGCCAAAACCTGTATTCTTTATACAGGAGGATACAAGTAATCTCAGCGTAGGTTATGTCAAAGGGACAAAGACAAGTTCCCTCTCAAAGTCATTTAGCTAACACATGTGTACCACCGGGGCTGTTCTGGGAAAGGGTCTTATCAAACAAAGGGGGCTTTGGTTATTGGGAGAAAGACAGGAAGTCTTTTGTTTTGGAGGTTTGGGGGCTCTTATCGAGTGTATACAATTTGGGGTTTATTTGGCTGAAATAAGTTATTAAACAAATGTCTTGGAAGGAGGTCTGGTATATCGCAGGGTGGGTCTTATCTGTATTGGGGCATACTGAGTTATATTACATATTATTACTGAGGGGGGAGTAGACTTGTACTACCTTTACACAACAATACGTAAAATTTGGTAACTTCCTAACTTTCCCTCTGGAAAAAATCATTATTTTAGTTTTACTCGCATTGACTGTTAGGTGCCATGTATTACAATATCCTTGTACTGCATTCAGCGCTACTTGTAATTCGTCAGGGCTTTCTGCCAAAATGATCGTGTCATCAGCGTACAATAAACAAGACAACTTTGAAAAAAGCTCTAATTCGTCACCCTGTAAGGTATTTTGTATTTCTTCATTTAACATTTTCAAGCCAGGATAAATTTTGGCAATATGCTCTTGAAAGTCATTTAAATAAACAGCAAACAGCAATGGCGAAAGGTTTTCACCTTGCCTAACTCCTACGTTACACGAGAAAAATTCAGACATTGCGCCGTTGACAGAAATACAGGACTTCGCACATTTGTACAAGCTTTTAACAACATTTAGGACTTTGCCATTTACACCTATTTTTAGCAATTTAAACCACAAAAACTTTCTATCAATTAAATCAAACGCTTTTTTATAATCTATAAAAGCACAATATAAGCGTTTCCTTTTCTGTAGGTAAAAATCGATAATAGTCTTCAAAACAAACACATGATCAATGGTTGAATATGTTGAACGAAACCCAGCTTGTTCCTCACCTAACATACGATTACTATCAAGAAAGCTAGAAATTCTTTTATTCAAGACTGAGGTAAACAGTTTACCAAGGCAACTTAAGGTAATTCCACGATAATTATCTGGATTTGTGTTTTCACCTTTATTCTTAAAAATTGGGATAATCACTCCTATACACCATTCAGAGGGAACGATTCCACTATCTAAAACAATATTGAACAAATCAACAATAACCCTACGCATTTCTAAGGGGCAACTTTTCAAAAATTCATTTCTGATCAAATCTTTACCGCAAGCTTTGGCATTTTTCAATTTATTAACCATTAATTCAACCTCTTCTAATGTGATAGGTTCATTCAAACCATCATTTTGTATCGTCACATTATCAGCATCCAAAGGCATCCTTTCCTCTAAATTATCCTCTGATTTACATACATTTCCTAGAGATTTAAAATGCTGTACAAGATCACCCAAAGAAACATTAACTGCACTTTTAGTTCGACGACCATTACTGTTTAATAAATCCCAAAAGGCTCTAGGGTTTCCTTGTTTTTTCAAGGACCGTAGAGAGGCACTAAAGTCTTTGCCATGCCTTCTCCTTTTGTACCTTAGCAATTTTTTATATTTCTTACTTGCCATAAGAAAGTCACTTTGTAAAACATTAATATCTGTTACTTGAACATCTAATCTTCTACCTAGCTGAATTTTCCTGCTTAGCCTATTCCTTAAATTAAGATACTCTTTACGGGCAGCTTCACAATCGGCATCAAACCATAATTGTGATGGCGAATTCACATTATGTTGTTCTTTATGACTCCTTGCTGTATTTGACTGTTTCCACTTACACACACCAATATCTTGTGCAGCCTGTAAAAAAGAGTTACAGATCTCAGAGTAGCAATGATCTACCAATTCCTGACTTACATTTCCATGAATATTTTCCACAATTCCTGACAATTGTAAGGTTAATCTGTGCAGCCTATCAGAGTATTCATTTGCATTTTCACGATCCCACTTAAAAGACATGTACCTGGGCTTAGACGAGTCACAAATGGTATTAACATCATGAATTTCTTGGTTGTGTGTATGAGTTGATTGCAAAGTCATAACAATAGGACAATGAACATCCGATAAACACTTATCAAATAAGTCAACCTGGAAGTTTTGTATGTTATAAAACAATTCATGAGAAACAATAGCATAATCAATTGTGCTACAACCCCCATTCTTATTGAAACACGTGAAATTTCCAATACCATTATCATCACCGAGCCGTCCATTGACGATAGCAAGACCTAAAGTTTTACATATGTCAATTACATGACTACCATTGTTATTTACCTTAACATCCATATTTTTACGCCTGATGGGCATATATGACTTATCCATACATGTACTAGGTGACAGACTGGAATCATCACAAAAATTCAAACCAAGTAGGTCAGATACAGCATCACATCAATATCTAAATAATCAGCAAGTAACCCTGTGCGAGCATTGAAATCCCCAACTAAACAAAATGGAACATTAAATTTACTTTTAATGTTAATAATATCCTGTACCAAACAATCAAAGACCTCATAGTTGTGATAAATTGAGCCTTCGCAGGGTAGATATACTGCACCCAATATAAACTCAAAACCTAAGATTTCTCTTTGAATCTTGACCCAAATAATTGAAGGGGAAATGGTATCACATAACCTTTCTGAATACGCAAAAATATGTTTTTTCATTAATATACACATGCCATGAAACCCTCCTAATCTCTGTTCACTTCTTCTAGACAAACAGTAATACTCAAAATCATGTAAAAAGGAGTTAGACAGATCAATAGAATCAGTTAACGTTTCCGAGAGACAAATAATATCATAAGTTTTCAAATACACATCAATTATACCAGCATTTAGCTTACTGGTCAAACCATTAACATTTAATGCTACAACAGAAAGCAAGATAGGGCTAGTGGTAAGACATGCCAAAAGGGGGTCTTCATTTCCCTAGCCAGAGACATCAATGAAGAGACCTGAGCTTTTGAGCTTCTCCTCCCCCCAACCTAACTGTTTGAACAGGTCTTCTGGAGAGGAAAGTACATATTTCTTCTGCGGATCCTTCTTTAGAGTGCAGAAGATCTTGCAGTCTACTGTCCACACTTTCTCAGTTTCTTCATCTCGTTTAACGACATGAAGGAGCTTGGCGCGTGATGGGGCCAAATGCTCACCCAGCATAACGTCCTTGTATTCGGTATCCCGCAGCTGTCTTTTCTTCCGCAATAAAGCGGTGCGGGTATCCCTTCTAACAAAGCGGGCTACGATTGGGCGGGGCTTTGATGGATGTGGCCTGCCGACACGGTGGCTAGTGCTGATGTCGGCCTCGCTGAGAGTAACACCAGCCTTCGCTGATATTTCCATCACCACTGCAGTCGTTGATTCAACATCTTTTTCAGGCACCCCTCGAAAAACTATGTTATCCCGTCTGGAATATTGCTCAACATCGTCGAGCCTGTTGTCGTGAAGCTGTAAAACAGCTTGGGTTTTTTCCTTCGATATGTGGGTGGTGGTTGCAATCTGTGTTGACAAAGAGTGGATCATAGGTAGAACGGCAGCCACAACAGCCTTCACGATATCGCCGACCAGCTCCTTGCTGGAATCACGAGTAGCAGCGGCAGTACCCCTTCCACGTGGACGATCAGGAATAAGTGCCATTGCACTAGCTACCACATCTTCGATCTTGGAGGTGATATCAACATCATCTTCCACGGGGAGAGCCTGAAACTTGTTTGTTACCTTTGCCATTGCTCTAAACAATCTTTCAATGTTCTTTCAATAATATCAAGTCAACTAACTCGCCTAACACAAAAGCGGGTATGTGGTGCAGTATACAGGACATGTGTTCCAAGTGTGCTCACGTGCCAAAGTTCACATTAAAATCAAAATAGAAACACAGCATACATGGGTGGCAGATTCATCCAAAACAGAGCCTAGGTGACACATTGAAGTATGACTATATGAAATATTCAGCAAAATCAAGCAAAATGTGTCATATAGAGATGAAATCCAACAGCAAGATAGTGCAGTCCCAAGCCATACCATACCATAACATAACATATATATATATATACATAATTATATACTGGTCAGGCCTGCCTTTATATATAATTGCTTCCAAACTATTACCTTGTGTGTTCTACAAATCTGTTATGTTACTTACAGATTTTTAGTTACTTTAGTTTTTGTTAGTAGATAGTGATACAAAGCATCATCTGAGCAGCAAAGAAGCAAATCGATCGGCCTATTTTTGACTCTGTTTTTAAACAAAAACTGCTGATAGACAGAAAATTCTTGACAGCTGGTCACACTTATATTTAAAGCCATGCCCATGTTTTGTTTTTCATCCCGAATTTCACTGTCTGTACACCTCTTTCAGGAAGACCAGTACTAGATGGGTGCTTGGGTGACTTTTGGATATGACGGATGCTGTAAGTGCTTTAAGGTTTCTCCGATACCAACTAAGGCTTTTGCTCTTTTCACATGGATAGCTTTAAGCCAAATGTTCTCATTACCAATGGTAAGGTAGTCATAATGAAATCTACTGCAGGAAACTCCTATGGATGGATTCGTGCTGCTATGGGGCTGTTCTGACTCTGTTGGCAATTTGGACAAGTCTTACTTATAGTTCCAGCTGTTTCTCCTATTCTCCTATGACGCTTTGCTGACATTGTTGACCAACTTGGGTGAGCATTTGGTTTACCAAATATCCCTCTACAAAGTTGAATCTAATAGCAACCTGTCTAAATTGTTGTGTATGTGCCATCGATTCTCCGTCTGTTCGCTCCGTTTTGCGAAACAAATGTTTTTGGAAGGTGGCATTTATCACAATCACATATAAACGAGCATTTAACGACTTTCTTGCATTTATTTATATTGCTCTTGTTGGGAAGTGTCTTAAATGTCTCCCTTACCTGCACGGGCCTCGCAGTGAAGAAAAACAGTGCTCTTACATATAACAGTTTAACGTTGGGCATTATGCAATTCGTTTATAAAATTAGAAGAATTTCCGAAAAGTGTAGATCAGCCAGAATACATGTACATGTATTTAAATTTGGTGAAACATTTCAAATGTACCAATGTTAAAATGATTTCACTTGTCTTATGTATTTTTTCATCTGTAAATATGATTCATTTGTTTGTAATTCTAAATTTTATATTCATCAAATAACTCTGAAATAGTGATTAGTACGTAACGAGGCATACCTTGAAGGAATGTATTGCCATGACGCATTATCTTGTTCCAATGACGAACATTCAATTTTAATACAAAACTATTCAGAAATGGTTCACCTGATTTTGATAAAAGCAATCAATGGATCTCTCTTATTTCATTGTGTTTCTTGTTTTGTTTTGGTTTGTTATTTTATTAAGTGGAGTTAACATGGCAATACTCTCTTTCCTATCCTCACAGTATTATGTTTTCTTATCTTTGCACGAAAATATATTATCTGATGACCACCCTGCCAAACATTTACAAATGAAGGAGCATTCCATTGACAAAAAAGTACTTTCCACGTGCCCTTACATATAGTCTCTTTCAGGCCATACTCCAGACAGGCCCGTACATAAACATGTTATAGCAACGAGTAGAGAGGTTAATTTCGTTACAATACGTTTGGCAAAAAAGATATCCACCTGTATCTAATTCATGTTGCCTTTGAACTTGTGATTGTGGATATCTTCGAGGATTCCAAGCGCCATCAGTTGTGGCCATTTTATTCCAATTCGGTTGTGGACTGTGATTGATGTATCCAACGGCATCCTCCTCCGTATTCTGCTCGCCTTCTATTCTTTTAGATGGTCCAGCGATTGTTACCTCAGGGATGGTCTCGTACAAGACAGAATCCGTTCTGATCGTCACCCGACCAACAGCAACCTCTTGGCTGCCAGCTAGTATACGAGCTGAAGCTGCCGGTCTTACGTCAGCGTTGCTTCCCTGGACGGGCCGCGTCATGTCCAACGTAGTGTGGGAAATCTATTGGAGATGTGAAAATTAAATGAAATGTAAGCTGTGGAAATGCCTGGTGCATCTTTTCCAGCCATTTTGTAAATTCAAGGTCAATATCATCTTTCTTTTAATTAGCGATGTTTGCGGTAACACCACGTATTATTTCTAAAGGGTTGGTTGGTCCTGAAAAGGGCTCACTCATACTCTATCTCTTTATTTGTACTCGGCACAAGTTACAAATCTATATCGACACTGGGCACAGTGGGAAACAGACTGGTTAAAATTGTCCAAACGTTATGTATCTTGTTAACGTCTCGATTACGAGGAAGCCGGGGGTTAGACTTTCCTCTAACTTTATAAGTCATCATGTCAGAAATTCAGAAGATTATTGTTTGAATATCTGACGATAATATGCTCTGCTTTCCGAAATAGTTTGGTAACAACATTTTTTAATGTTTATATCTCTCTCATCCCCTTAAATTAAACAAAAACCAATCACATTTCATATATATTTCATGCCATATACTATTATGGAAAACAATGTTTTCATTACAATTATACCATAAATAGTTTCAGAACGTTTATTCTAGAATCATCTTGCATCCTTATTCTAATGAAATATGTGGTATAAGTTTGAGCACTTTCAACAAGCCTAAGGAAGTTGTTAGGATCATGTACCAAACTATTATTCGGATGGTTGTGAGACGATAAGTGTTATCGGCTAAAATTGCTAAATCAGTTAGATTTTTTCAAATTGAATGAAGTGCATCAGTTTGTTAAAGTTATTATGAACTGGGAAAAAAAATCATAAAAGAATCTCGAAGAAATTTTATTAAAAATGTGTTTTCAGTTGGAATTTTTTAGGGAGTGTTGGCAGCGTGACAACACGAAAATGTGACATATTTAACATGACTTACTTATATGAATTAAACATGTTTTTCATTTGTGTTTTTCCCTGCCCTAACGATTGGCCCGTGATAATCATTGTCTGATCATTGTTTACTCGTATTTATGATCTCCATTGTTGATGTTTATGACTGATTTTTAATAATTTTCGAACTCTTTATATTCTACATATATAATCTCCATGTGTCCCATTGTATGTATCATGGGATAAGTATACCAAAGGCTTCAAGATTCTTTACTGTTTCCATTGCAATATTAATCTATGCAGTTGTTAAAAGGGTAGTCCTGGAGCTAATCAAGAATTTAAAAAATTGCATGTTAGCAAACCTATGGTATTGTAGAGAGGCGGAGAAAGCAGCCGAATTGAAAGGGTAAAAAGTGTTGCCTTATTTGTGGGGGGGGGGGGGGTGGTATTACCTGTGAGGCAGGATCTTGATTCTTTGAAGAGAGATGCTGTCTGACCTGAGTTGCGATCCAGTATATCAATATT